TATTCAAGTTAACAGACGGGGAGCTATTACACAAATGAATTCATCCCTGTACTGAGTCTCATGTCACTCCCAATTAGCCCGGATGCAACGACAGGAGAACTCACAGAGCCACATCTAGATACAAAGTTGTGCCCAAGCTAAGCTGACCTCTTAAAGCCAGGAATGCTGTTAAGTATTATTGAGGAATACCAGGTGAGCAGGTTTTTGCAGAGCGGGCATTCAGTGGTGGCTCAGAAGCTCAGACATACCAAAGCTGATTGCATGCAGCCAGACACACCTCTACTGTACCTCCCTCTGTGTCCCACAGAACTCCCTCACGCCCCCCGTCAGCCATACTGCTCGTTCACCATCCCAGCACACAGAAGGTTAGTCTTACTCACACAATCTCGTGCACGTCTCTTTCTTTACTTTCATTCCATTTTCCTATTTTCTTTTCTATGCTGCTTTTTCCTACCTTTTTTTTCCCCACTATAATTTTCCCATAGTATTAATGCACAACACTGCTTTTTGCTGAAAAGTCACTGCTGTTAAGTATTGAGAAAAATGTTGAAAATGCTTGAGAGGTGTGTTATCCCTCCATCATTTGCACTAACCCAGAGCCTGGGAAGTAACACTATCAATCTCATCAGCGGGTCAGCACATCTAACTGCCATTTACCTCATGCTTTTAAAACTTAGCAAATACTAATGTTGAACTTGTTGAAGTTTTCTACCAATAATAACAAAATAGGTCAGAGTTCCTATTAGTAATTTTTGCATTCACCATTGCAAAAACTTTAACAAAACAAATACGTTAGTGTTTCATTTAAACGGAATCAAGAAACAACTGAACTATAGTGCAAATAGTGACTATAGTGATGCTCTTGCATAATACTGTTAATTGCATTAATCTAACCATTTTAAAGCCCATCCTCTGTGGGATTTTGCCTAACAGGGTTTATGGGCAGCTTTTGTCGATCTATTCTTCCATTGCCCTGCTGCCTTGTTGCAATACTTTCTCCTTTTCTTGATCCTCAATATGAAATTTCACTTCCCTGCTTTTCCCTTTATTTATTCCCACTTGTCCTGTGTCTTCCTCTCAATGTAAAACCATCTCTTGTCAAGTGTAGGCTTCACCTATATTATCAGTTTCCTTTGACCTTACTCCCAGATACCAAACTATGGGCCTTCTCCATTTGCAAATGAAAAAGTGTGATTTCACTTACCTTTCAATATGGACCATACACTGTTTTGCCCCCTCCTCCAATGCACACATGACATGTTAAAGCTTTTTCATTTTGACTGGTGCAATGTAAGAATGATTCTGTTTTGCCATTCAAGAAAACGGCTAAATGCTGGGAGAGGTGTGTGTATGTATCTTCCACAAAACTAAAGTATTTACTTATATTCACTTTACACATAGGCACAATGAAAAAGTTGACTTTGCTATTAAAGTGAAACTAAGAATTGGCATTTCCATTATAAACTGATCCTTTTAATAATTTAGAACTAGGTTAGGTTTCTGATTTTTCAGCAAAAATTATTTGCAGTGAAAAAAAGTTCTGTGGAAGGTATCCTCTACTCTCTTTCCTTGATATGTGTATACATACAAGCATCACCAAAAAAGCCCACTCTTATTTTGCTTCCAAATTTATGATACAGAAATATGTGTACAGATTAACTTTACACAACATGCGTTGCTATGCTGAAAAAAGTAAAAATTTCAAAATAGGAAATAGAAAGAAGGCTTCCCAAAAGTAATCCAATTGAGCTCCTTGCAGGTTTTGAAACATACTTAATTATCAAAGCAAATCCTGAAGGATGTTAATGTATGTTACTGTAAATACAGTTATTGACTATGTTTTAGACAGCTCTTTTTCTAGACAAATACAACAGTCCTTCCCAGTTCCAGAACTGGCTTGAGAAGAGAGGAAAAAAAGAAGTTGTAGGATACTTCTCATATGTTATAGGATTTTGACTAATTTTTAGATTAATTCTCAAGTAGAAGGACACGACCACCCTGGAAGTCCACCTAAGAAACCAGAGCTGACTCACATTTTCTGGGGATCCAAGAAAATAGAATATTTCTCCTTGATTCTCCCTATTAAAAACAAAGGTATGTACCCAGGTTTCCTCCTCATTACAAAACATGGGATCTGTGGAATGAGTTGACTGAACAGAGCAGGCCAACTTCCAGTGCTACTTAGCATGTCTCAAGAAAGCTTCCTAGTGCAACTCCCAGTCCTGTCAGGAAAGGGACTTTTATTAGCAGCTCTGTTGAGGTCAACAGGCTTTTGTCTTTGGGAATCTCTAAGAATATCAGCTGGCAAATTGCCCTTTCCCTCCAAACTGCTAAGGAAATACAGGTCATACGATTGGACAGGATCAACTGCAACAGCAAGGAACCTCTCAATATACAGCTAGTTCAGGAAGATCTACAGAACATCAGTCTCCCCACACAATTATGCTTCCAAGCACTGGAGAACCCTATATCGAGCTGAAGGCCTGTAGTACAGGATTAAAAAAAGGATCAGATGAAATCAAGCATTACCAATTTCCCACCTCCTTACATGGGAACTTGCTAAATAAAACTTCAGAGGACAATAATCAGTGGGCCATACCCCACAATACAGAAAAGGGCTAAAAAAATCAGACCCAGCAGTCCTTTCCAATTTTCTGTTCTCTATGACACTTTCCTTACATGCTTCCGATACTGCCAGTATGCTGCTTGTTCAGCTGAGCAATGTATGATTTTCCAGCATCTCCCAGTTTTGGCAAGGCAATTGCTGTGCACAACTACAGACACAGCCTCCACATCTCACAGCTTCACTGCCCTGCTTGGTAATGTGAAAAAGCTGCCTAACCTTAGAAAGATCACAAGGGCGCAGAGTTTCCCAGCTTACATGGAATCTTCTTGAAAAGCCATGCAAGTAGAAGGTTTTCCTGAGAGCAACTCAAGCAACATCCTAGTCATAACATTTTTTCTATACCTGAATTTTGGTCCTTAAAATGCCTCCTCTATGAAGGATCTGAATTCCCTCCCAGCACTAAAAACATGTTTAGTCTTTGAATGAAGGGATGGACCTCAACTCAGAACAGCACTTCCCCTCTTCCCATGGAAATCTGGCAGCAGATTGTCCTAAGAAATAGGGAAGAAAGAAAATGACAAACCTACATTACTCCACAGTCTTTCCTCCTTCAAGAGGCACCACTGCCTTCTGGATGGCATTTAGCTGGACCTTGCTTTGTTTAAAGAAAGTCTAAAAGAGAACGATAATAGGCATATTGCTTGACCCTAAGGCTCTGCAATGTTTTAAAGGAAAGGGGAGGAAGAGAGGAACTCTTCTGCCTTGTTTAAGCTAGTGTTTTGGGCTTGTGTGGTGGGGTTTTGGCAGTGGGGGAGGGGGCTGCAGGGGTGGCCCCTGTGAGAAGCTGCTAGAAGCTTCCCCGGCTTAAACCACAACAGCTAGTTAAGGCCAATTCAGTGGCAACAGCAGAGACAACAATAGTAGACATTGTACTGTGGGTCTTCTTTGGGTTGTAATTTTGGCAATTCCCAATCAAGTTCAGGCTGCCTGTTTGGAAGGGTGAGATGCATCTTGTAAAACCTTTCACTTGAAGGTTACTAAAAAGATGCAGTCCATTACGAAAGGAATCATGCAGTGTTGCTGCAGCAGCTGATTTACCTCTTCAAAAGCACCAGTGCCACCTTAATTGAAGGCTCTTGTTGAGGGTATTATCCAGATTCAAGAACAGTGGACAGAGAGAAATAGCTATACCCTGGGATCAGACACTTTTCCAAAACTGGGGCAGAGCAACTTGACCTAGAACCTAGAAAAACAACAGATTTACTACAAGCTAGAGGAGCTCTTCTTTGTTTCTAAGATCTATGTAAATTAGAAAAGCTGTAGTGCAATCATATAGTCTGTTATTGTAATTATAAAGCTAATCAAGGGCTTCAGAGTTAATAATAGCATTAAGGCACACAATCAAATAGTGAAATGGAATGAAAGATAGAAAATGCAGATTATTAGAAAACTAACAGTAATTGTCAAACTTCAGAACACGAAAGCCATAGCAAGGAGTTAGGAAAATTGCAATAGAAACCTCAGGGTGACGTTTTAAAGTTAAAAGCATTTATTTTTGCACTTAGTGTGCCAGCATCCACTGTTTGCTGTAGTATCCATACTTTTTGTTTTAATGCTAGAGAATGAAAGATGGTTGGAAATTTTAGACCACTTTCTGAATATTTCTAGTTAAACTCACAAACATGTTTGTATTTAAGATTTAGATCCTACAGAAGCATGATAGTTTCTTACATTTTACTCACTTTGTTATGAGTCTGTACAACTGAAAGAAATAACAGGTCAAGTAAAATATGCAATAATACTTAAAACAGATGTTGATGTAAATTCCAGTGGAAAGAAAATATTTGTTTCGATGTATGCACTTTCTTAGAGCTTATTTTTCTTATATTGTGCAACTACTGTATTTGAAAGCAGACACTGTTAAGAATGAATTTGTTTAAAAAACAGTTAGAAGTGGTTTTGTGAAAGCCTGTCAAAGAACTGAATGTCCCAACTTTTAAAAATTTCCTGCTTCACAGGACACAAAAAATCACCAACTATATGGGGGAGAGAAGGGGAGACTATCTGACCTTTTATCTCTCTCTCAATATAAATTTCACTGTATTGATGCAGTCCAAATTATATAAACTGTTGAGCCAATTCTGTACTATTTCAACGGGAAAAGAACACTCTTCAAGCTTTGAAATTTTATATATCAAAACATTAATTGGGCTCAGTGCTTCGAAAACAAAGTCAGAGGGTTGGGAAAAATTGTTAGGTGCTTTTAAAGCTTTTAATTTCAGCTCTTATATTTATTTTCCTACTGATACAATGTGATCAAGAAGCTATTGCGCCCAGGAGAAATGCATCCTGTAGTCACAGGGCTGAAACAAACTGCTATTTTACAAGGTTAGAGATCTGGAGTATGATTTCTATTCCAGGTTAACAGACTTACATGATTTTCTGTTGGAAATTTTCAGTGGCTGAATCTGCACTTCTGGTCTTCTTAGTGCAAATCTCCTATAAAATGGGAGGTGGTAGGGGAAAGACACAAACTCCTCAGTTTTCACTGCAAGTTTGAGATTAATAAACACTTAACATCATGAGACTATTGCAAAATATCCAGAAGATTTTATAAGAAATTAACTTAAAACAATGCAATCTATTCACAATCTAAAAAAACTAAATCCTCAGCCTCAAATTTTTGTAAGCTCTCAAAAACCTGCTGCAGTTCTTATTCCTGCATAGTACATCAGTGTGAATACAGATACTGATGTGCTATTTCCCATATGTTTTTTCTTTCAATCTGGATCAGTGTTATCCTATCGGGTTTTGTCATTATTAATTCTAGCCAGACAAATAAGGAAATCCAAAGTATTTCAGCAACAGGTTTCCAAGTTCAGTTGTCTTGCTGGAAATGCAGGTTTATCATACCCGTGTGATCTATGAGCATTACATACGACAACTATGCTAACATAACAACTCGGCAAATAAGTGTCTTCTCTTACTACAAAAAATAATGAAACTATGCTTCTCAGTAGCTCACCTCTCCTGGAAATGCTTTGAAGGGATCAAGCCTGCTCTGGGATTGGCATCACCTTCGTGTTTGGCCTGCCACCAGGTCGCATCATCCTGGCTCATGATCTGAAGGATATCTCCTTTTCTGAAAGCAAGTCCAGCTTCTTTACAAGGAATTGCTTTATCCTCATTAGGATCATAGTCAAACAGAGCTCTGATAAACATCTGAAACAAACCGTGTTTTGTCTTTAGAATCAAAATATTACATGCAATCCAAAGGTGTCTCCCTTTTTCGCTTTTACTGTTCAAAACCATTGAACTAAATAATGTAAAGCACTAAACATTTACTGCTGTAAAACATGCTTATGGACACCTCACAGTAGAAGTTCACATGGGAATGTTCAATTCATTGCTTCTGCAACCTCCACCCAATGTAGTAAAGGCTCTATGATACAAGGCAAATAGGACTTTGCAGGTGAATGGTGGGCCATATGGGGAACTGAAGAGAAGATACTTTTGAAGCAAGGTGCTATCAAGTGTCTTCTACCCAGTGTACAGTGGAAGAAAAGGAGTACTTGGAAGCAAGCCAGGTCCTCGCAGAAGATGGAAGATTACCTATGTCAACTTCACAGCTGTAGAGTTAGGGCTTAAGAACCATGTTACACCCACTTGTAAATCCAGCACGTAAGTATTGAAGTGTACGGTGCGCTGCACACTGTCACATTAGAAAAACTGAGTTCAGAGGCATAAATCACATTCTTGGTTCTGTCATCCAAGCAAACAATATATAACCTCAGTATAACAGTTACTGCAATAGCTTCTGAAATAGTCTTGCCTACCTTGCCTTCCTTCACTGGCATTTCTTCCTTCACACTAGGTATAATTTTAAATGTAATTGCTCCTTGAGACTGAGCCTGGTGAACATTTGAAAAGAAAATGTACTGAGAATTAAGCTATACATTTCAAGGAAATCTTAAAAGGAAAAGAAATTCAAATTAATGTAGAAATACTCAAATATAATGAATCTATCCTCTCCCAAGCATGATCCGTGGAATTTGACAGCTTCACCACACCAAACTTTGCATTGCAAAGATTAAAATACCCACTTGAAATGCTCGGTTTTATTTGCTTCACTGGTGGGCAGAGATGGACTGGGACCTGTATGTTTCAGAGGTCCCACTTCTGCACTGAAAGCAGGCGCAAATGCTACAGCTAAAATGTATGCATATGAGAAGCAACCGCTGGACTCCTGGCACAGTTTGGACATCCCTGGAAAATCCAACTAACATTTCATTTCTCAAAAAAAACTGATAGAAAAATTCAAACAGGCTTGTGCCATATTTATCATATAAAACTATTGGGGGGGGATTTATTCTTTTGGCAACTTTAAGAAACTAGAAAAGAAAAACATATTTGAATAGACTACGTGTACTAAATGGAAAAAAAGCCCTCTACTATAAATCTTAAAACAAGTTAGCCATCATCAACCACCTCATCCATTCATCTTTCCCTATATCCCACTTAAAGTGTGTCTGGCTGTATTTTACTTATTAACCACAATATATTCCCACTGCCTCAGTGACATTTTGCTATTGAAGGAAGTGCTAATCAGCTGGAGCCTCTGCTACTATTGCATGCAGCCGACAAGTTTCATAAAACTAGCAGAGTGCAACAGAGAGCCAACGATTTAAGCAAAATGGAAACAGGCCTGTCCACTACCAAGCGAGACATACTTTTGCCGGCACGTCTGCGATCCAAGAGCTCACTGTTTGACAAGCAGCAGCCAAGTTCTTATTTTACCAGTCCTAGGACTGGAATCAATAATTCTGTTACTTTTGAAACAAGCTCTAACTAGCTTTTGATGTTTATATTGTTCCTCAAGGAGGTAAATGGGGAAATTGTTCACACCTTTTCTAGCACTATTGTGTTTCTAGAGATTTTTAAATATTAATTTTTGCAGGAAAATATGTTTCTGTAGGGAACACAAAACCATAAAGCAAGTATGAGTATCAGCGGGCTAACACTTGAAATGAATCATCTTGGTTATTGAACCAAAACTGTGAGACAGCTGCTCAATTCAGCAGGACAGCAAGGTATGTATGTATATAGAAATGCCTACAACATGAATATAAAGAGCTGTCATGACCCTCATCAGTTTCTTTGCTGTAAAAATATTAAATATTTCTGAAAAACTCTAAATTAAGTAAATTTGTGATAGTGGTCCGTAAGTAAGTAATTAGGCTGGCTTTAGAGATTGTGTAGTTCAGAGGAGTGCAAACATAATCATATATATGGATATATACTGCAAGTCCATATAAAATATAATCTTAATATACTAGTTATACAAGCTATCAAGTACATGTATTATGAATTAATTTGCACATGGAGTTAGTGCATTATTAATGAATACATTTAAAATAGTTTGAATTCGACAGATCATGGTGTGCCTCAAACACTGTAGATTATACTTGAGATCTGCAACATTATTTATAGCCATATTACTGTCATTTAACTCTTTACAAGTAATCTATAATTGCATATATATGTAATGCGTGGAAAATCATTCTTTAAGAGAAAAGAAGTAGAGGTTTGTAAATGATGGCACTGAAAGAAAAGGCATTATTGTAGAACATACTTTTTTCTAAGAAATACACCAGAAATCTTAAGTCTAATTACTTTTTCTTGACTCCCTAAATTAATTTTAAAATGTTTGGTATTTACCAAAATGTGTATTATTTCTTCAGGTTTTTTATCATCTACAGGAATCCCATTGACTTCCCTCAGTTCATCACCAACATGAATAAGACCTACAGAAGACAGAGGAGTTGTTAAACTGTAGCTATGTATTATACAAAAAATGCCACTACCTTTCAGCTTTTTTCTCCCTTGTTCATCCACTTTAAGCTCTAACTTAAAAGCAGGAATAAATGGTGAACCCAACACCACCTACTGTCCTCACAGATAAGTTTTGAGATTGTTGGTTTACTCACCTCCCTTCCTTCCTCCTGAAAATTAGTACCATTTCTCTATGACTTTTCCAGACTTTCATGCAGATGTTTGAAAAAATGTTTGTGCCAATTCTTTTTCTACTCATACTACTTTCTTATTGCTACACAGCTGCAAGTACTGCAAAGATCACTTAGGCTGTGAGTGCTAATTTGTGGCACAAATGCTTGCTAATTTAACAATAAACGTATCTAGATTTACTCTGTTACCCCACCTAAGTGTGAAACACAGCTGTCCTAGATTCTCTTCAGTGAAAAGAGGCACTTTAGAGTATAATGCAGGACCTCTTGCTCGAGTTCTTGCAGACTTTGAGCATCACAAACTAAACAACAGCAGTCAAGGATGTGCTGGTATTTTGAGAATTACCAGCTGAAACTCCAAATGGATGTCCTAATATAAAACAATGCAACCATCCTGAGTTTCTCCATCAGCAGGTTGTAATCTTGGCATATCCCATCATTTCTAAGGGGATGCCTTCAATTGGAAACAAACCATGATGTATCTAAAAAAAAACCCTGTATCTGCTAACTCAAGGGTACCTGGTTGCAACTGAATTGGGGAAAAAACTCAGCACGAATACTTTCACCAGTATTGAAATATCACTTTGGAAAACTGTCCAGACCCCAAATATTTTTGTGTGTGATAGTGACGTATTTAATTTCTACACAATATGCCATTTTATCTCATCTTGTTCCAAGTTCTAGAACTTCAACGGCTAGTGCCAAGCAGCAACACCTTACCACTTCTATCTGCAGCTCCTCCACGCATTATCCTGGCCACCACAATTGCACCAGTATGTTCATCTCTTTTAATAGTAGCTCCCTTGGGTAAAAAAAAAGAAAAAAAGAAGTTATTTGGTTAATCTCACCATAATTTTAATTCACTACATTAAAAACCATTTGCTAAGTAAAACTGCAAAAAGTTGACATCGTATCAATATATGAATAAGCCAGAAATGATACTTGCTCATGAAAAGAATATACAAAATATGTTGCTCTATTACCATCCTCTTAAAATGGGACTTCTTTTCCATTCAGAAGTAACTCACGCATTCTGTATGTACACAGCTTTTAAAAAAGGACGAACGATAGAAAAAGTTTACTTTCCAACTTAATGTTAATTCCAGCATACCTTACTTGAGTCTGCTGCTAAAACTGTACTAACCTACTGCTGAAAGTTGATAAATTGTTGTTCCTACATTAAAACAGGCCACGTTACATACTGTGGGTACAAAAAGTCTATCCGTGTTCATAATTTTTGCACTTTACGCTCAGAACTGCACCCACTGATCGTCATTTTGCTTTACAGTGTTACCAATAAATAAACATGACTTTGAGAAATGCCCCCGCACATCGGGGCTCACCTGGAATACCTGCGGGACAGAAATGCAGAGGAGGGGAACATTTCCTGAGTTAGTCATGACTGTTTTCATACATTACACAAACACAGGGCAAGGTATTTAGGTAAAACGACATCATGTAGCTAAATTTCCAGCGAACAGCTGTCTAGATGAGAAAAATGCCTTTGTAACAAGAACTGCGAGGGTACGCTGAAAAGAGGCACAGGGCGATGGGGAAGCAGCAGACAGCGGCAGCGACAAGCGAGGAGGGAAGGGACCTGGAGGCACAGAGCCGCGGCCAAGCTGCGGTGCCAGTCCTTTCGGGCAGACGGGAAGGAGTGAGGGGGGACACGCGGGGCCTGCTCGGGAAGACAGAATCCACAGAATAAGGAGGGCGATTTTAGCTAGATAAGTCATACTGTATAATCACCTCCAGAAAGGTTATTTGATCCAGTATTTTTAAAAACCAACACGATAAAAAGCACCTCCTGGCCAACAGCTTTTTAGCTGCACGTGATTACATGGCCATGTTAATGTCATTAGTTACCTGCAATAGCTCTAACTTTGTTAATCGACAGAGATGTTTAGGACTCTGGCAGGTAAGTCAATTTTCTGAAAATTTCTGTATTTGTGATTAGTGAATGAACAGTATTGCTTCACCTCTAAGTACAAGACAGTGCTACGTACACTCCGCCATCACTGGTTAGAATTTCCTTCCATCAGAGAAGTGTTGTGTTGAAGCAAGGTACAGAAGTACTTTATAAAGTTCCTTGAATAATTAAATTGCTTTTACAGCTACCTTTCTATATTTGTTTAGATTAAACATGAATATCATGTTTATCACGACTTCAATTTTTAAGTGTTTCACGATTGTGAAGCTGACATAAGTACAAATAAATAATGGGGGTGACATTTTACTACAGTTAACAATTTTACTGACCGTAAATAAACTTCTTTCCCTTTCCCTCTGCCTCTAAGATGGCAACACAGCACAAGAAAAAAATGGGAGATTAACTTATATTTTACTATATGCAAGCTGCATTTATTGCAAATAGAGAAAAATTAAAACAGTCACCACACAATATTCTCTTTGGCTGAAACTTTAACAGTAGCCAGCACTCCACAGCAAAATTGATGTGCTGTGTTTGTGCATTTTATTTTACATCTTAAATTTATTAGTAAGACATTCTATGCACAAGCAAAGTAATTCTGCAATTTGCCAGCCTTATTCTTATGTGTTGTTTATAATGTAATTGTATCAGTAAGCATTTGTTTGTATTACAGTTTCAAATGAGTATGAGAGCTTCAAAAAGATAAAAGATTTAGCTGCAGCTAATCTCACTTTAAAAACTCATGATTAGACTTCTCTGCAAAAAGAATTGCATACCATTAGGAATATACTAAACAAAGCACTAACCCCTCTAGCCTATGTTTCAATATTGAGTTCTAACCTTGCAGCAACAGCTATTAAATTGAAGTTTATTATTAATATCTGCATAGTTATATCTGTTTAAAAGTACAAAGCGTCTTTTTTTTCTGAATATATCCATCAAAAAGAAAAAAGCAGTATTAGGATGCTAGAGCCAAATATAAATACAGGACATTTCCACTATATTGTCCATATTAAACAGAGGGTCTCCTAATTCATCAGGAAAAAAGCCTTGTACAGAAAGGCTTTATGCAGTTTACCTAGAAGTCAACACTATTAAATGCCACCAAATGCAAAAGGCAAGCAATGACTGACAGCCTCCTAACTGTGATCACCCAGCTACCCCAGCCCAGTGCTGATGTCTGGAAATGAGTACTTCACTTTGTTTTTAGACAGAACCCCAAAAAAAACACTTGTGTGTGATCAAAGACCACAGTATTGACCCAGACGGCATCTGGAAGTAACAACAAGGCTCTTGTCCAAGTGGAATGGTCACTTCATGCTCTACGCGATTTTCACTACAAAATGAATTTTCCTAGCACAGATTAGCCGATTTGAAAGATGCCCCAGTAAAGATAACAGGTAAATAGGAATTTTCAAACAAAGCGCAAAATCAAGTTCAAATTTACTGGGAAATTATTTAACCCAAGTTAGCTCACTCCTAATAACTCCTCTACAGCAAACTCAAAGTGAAAGGGCAGGTCCATGAAAAGCACTATTTGAGTTTATGTATTTTTGCTGTACCTATAGTACACAGAGAAAAAAAGGGGGTTCCTTAAATTCCCCTTCCCTCCCAATTTAGAACACTCAAAAAGAAATCATCAAACACAAGTAGATTTCTTTTTGAAAACCCGAAGAGCTGATTTTCTGAAAAAGAAGCTTCTCTTGTACTGTTGCCAGCCCTGCTTAAACTATGAAGTATATATAATCTGGCAAGAATTTCTCCTTATGAGATGTTCAGCTCCAGTACTTTCAGTTACATGTGCAGTGCAGCTCCTCATTTAGAGCTTTAAAAATGGAAGAAGGTTAGACTGGACCTTGAGAGCTGGAAAATATTTTCAGTGTTGCTAGCCAAAAGTGTAAGTTACCCTAAATGAGACATATACAGATGTAATAGCATAGCTCAGTTTAAAATACTTTTAAAGGGAAAAATAAGGAGTTTGGGAGCCATATGGTGATCAGACTAAGAAAATGTTTAAAGGTGTACTATGCAAAAGCACTAAAAGTAATACAAGGCTCTTTCACTGTTTTTTGGGTTTTGGGGTTTTTTTCATTTTTAATGTAGTAACACTGATTGGTGAGCATCACTCAGGGTTTCACAGATGTGAGCTTTATTAGTTCTCCATTTATCTGCTGGTTCCAGAACATAAACATTATAAGCCTTTATTTTTAAAGAAAGAAAGACTACATCAATATTACTACATCAGTAATATTTTTGCATACGTTTCTGTTAAACAAAAGCACATGCAGATGTTGAATGCAAATAAGTACTTCAAGAAGCCTTATTTGAATTCATTCTCTATTGAAAATGTAAATACAAATATCAGTTACCTACCTTATAGTGAAGAGTTATTTAAAAGTTGATGCCCACATACATGTAGACTATGCACACTAGAGCTCTGCCTAGACCCCAATTAATCCCCCCTGTAAAACAGTTGGGTTCATTCACTAACAAGAACCAAGCTACAAGGACTCAGAGTAAGAGGCGAGCAAGAGCTGTAGAATCTGCATGGGCAGAACATGTAAACGACTCCTTTAAATCACTGCAATTAATTTCACCCAAGTTCAGCTATAGAAATCAGGTATCTAGTTCAAGCCAGGTGTCTAGGCTCCTGCTATAGTTAATGAAAAGAAATAGGCAGCTCTGAGAATGAATCATCCTTTCATTAAGGCAGGCATCTCAAATAGATGGCATGGTTCATTCTCTGGAGCTGCCTATTTTTCTCTTGACTATAGACACAGCATAGATACTAGTTTTCAAATGGCTAAATTTATGTGAAATGAATCTGTCATGAAGAAGTAACCACCTTACCATGAATAAGCATCCTATTCAGAATAACTGCACGACATCTGTAACAAACCTGGAATATCATTTGGGAGCTGGAAGTAGTGAGAGGCCAGGAACTGAACTCCTGGTAGTGTGGTTGTACATCTCGGGTACCAGGAATGCTAACCAGGAACATGGCAGTGGCTAAAAAAGCCCATGAGAGGCAGGCATAAGTAAAAACCCTCAGAGTTATCTAATATAAAGCCTAATTATAGCCAGGTGAATTTTGGAATCTCTGAAAAGAGATGTTTCTACTTCTCTTCATGTAAGGTTCAGAGATGTTCTAAATTACTTTGTTCAGATAAAACCTCTTAACACAATTTTACCTTGCTTGAGTGAGACACTGCTAGAATGGCATTTGCTAATAGAGCATTTAGAAACAAAAACAAAACCCAAAACTGTGGAAGGATTAACAAAAAGTTTAAATCATCTCTTCCAAAAAACTGGAGGAAAGTTCAGCACTGACTTCTGAACTGATGAAATCTGGCAAACAGAAGGCCCTCCTACAAACCATGTGTTTCCCTCTCTTTTGAGATGATTACTCCTGGGAACTCAGGCTTCATTAATATGAGATTAACACCGGCTCAGAACACCAGTGAGGTGCTTAACTCAGAGAAAAGCATGAACAAGTACAAGAGGAAATGTGGTGCAGTTTTATATAAAAATGGTCACTAGATATATTCCAAAGAAGCTAAGAGAGTGCCTAATTTGCTTCACAGAGACTACTGTTGAAAGTCATCCAAAGGAGATATCCAATTCAAGAACATCCAGGGTTTGCAACTGATGTAAAACTTACTGCTTTGCAGAAAAACAATCTCTAATGTTTGTGTACAAACAGAGAATGAGAATGTATCTGAGGTGAAATAAAAGCTCAGAGAGTTCAGTTATCTTCAAGTCAAGAAACCAGACCAGAAAAAATATTGTATGGTACCTCCAATCTCAAGCTCAGTAGCAAGAATCCCGATATAACGATGTAAGTGGAAGTCAGACTTTTTGACTAGAGAATAGTGAATAGATAAACTGAACAAGAAGAGACTCTTTGATCTGTACTAAGAATATCCAAGACTTTAGAACAAGCTCTGAAGGAAAAGCCATTAAAAAGACATGGAAATAAATAGAAAATGAAATTTTAAATAGTTTAGTAAACACAGATCATGGCATATCCTTTCTTAAGTAAAATAACTTCAGGAAGCATAAATGCAGTAGATATAATATACCTAGTATAAACCTGTTTCTATTTATTCTCCCATGCCATATTTTGGTAAGACATTATCTGAATTACTATCCATGTTTCTTCTCACCCCTTCCTAAGGGGGCGGGGAGGGGGAGCAGAAATCTGGGGAAGACAAAGACACAAATAATAGGTTTGTTATGTATTGTCGTCATGGTGTCATAAGTTGTCACTATAAATCTGCCACAAAGAAATTAATGTTTGACGTTAACCTTAATAATGTTAAAATGGATTGAAGGTGGGTTATGGAAGAGGACGCTACACACTATTCTTCAAAGTCTTCCTGGAGATGAAGTAACATGCAAAATAGAACTCACCGTAAGCTCTTCTCCAACAAAAATAAAACATCAAGATAGGCTGGAGATTTGGAAAGACCACAAATACTCCTTTCCTGTACAGATAAGGTACAATCTTAGAAATGTTGGTTAAAGACCAGCTTTTGGAAGTCATTCAGGCCAATCTCCTACTCAGGGCAGGACACTACTGTCAATGCCAGATCAGGTCAGCCATTGCCTTATGGTATAGGGTGGACATCTCTGGTTACTCTGCTCCAGTGCTGGACTTTGCATCTAATGAAATACTTCTACTAATTCTCAAATTAAACCTCACAGGGCTGCAACTTGCCCCATGTCTTAGCATCTTTCACTTCTGAGAAGGGTTTGACTCTACTGTCCTTGGGAGCTCCCCACTCTCAAGTAGTTGTAGGCTGCAATTAGCTCCCACCCTTTGCCTCTTTCGAGTAATAGGTCTATCACAGATTCCATTATAAGGCTGTTTTCATCCTGGAAAATAAACTAAGCAGTCTTAAACTGAAGAACTGAGTTCTCTCACATTTTTTATGTTTTCCATGGCTGCCGTCCTGCCTAGTAAAAGAAAGTTCTAAAAAAACCCTCTCTGTTACCTCCTTAGCACAAAAGATGCACCTTTTAAGAGACTGTACTGATTTTGGCTGGGATAGAGGTAATTTTCTTCACAGTAGCTCATATGTTGCTGTGTTTTAGATTTGTGTTGATAACACAGGGATGTTTTCATCACTGCTGAGCAGTGCTTACCCAGAGCCAAGGCCTTCTCTGCTTCTCACCCCACCCCACCAGCGAGGAGGCTGGGGGGGCACAAGGAGTTGGAAGGGGACACAGCCGGGACAGCTGACCCCCACTGACCCAAGGGATATCCCAGACCATACGGCGTCATGCTCAGCATATAAAGCTGGGGGAAGAAAGAGGAAGAGGGGATGTTTGGAGTGATGGCGTTTGTCTTCCCAAGTCACCGTTAGGCGTGATGGAGCCCTGCTGTCCTGGAGATGGCTGAACACCTGCCTGCCCATGGGAAGGAGTGAATTAATTCCTTGTTTTGCTTTGCTTGCACGTGCAGCTTTTGCTTCACCTATTAAACTGTCTTTATCTCAACCCATGAGTTTTCTCACCTTCATCCTCCTGATTCTCTCCCCAGTCCCACTGGGGAAAGTGAGCGAGCGGCTGCGTGGGGCTGAGCTGCCAGCTGGGGTTAAACCACAACAGACACACAGGTATCTGGAAGAGTTTAGTATCCCACCGGAGTGAACGGGCAAAAGTGGAATTTGAGGAACAGTCCAAGGATAACCTTTAGTTTAGGCAACTCTATTTGTCCCTTTAAGAGGGCTTAAAATCTCAAAAGCCAATGTATAATGTATCTTGTACAGGTTTTCAGAAAATCTCTCAGTTTTATTTTCAGAGTTGCTATTTAGCCAATCCACTTTGAGATACTATTAACTTACAGTATTTAACTCACACAAGTCTTAGTAGCAAATCACGTTTGAAACACGAAAGCAGGTAAATTAATATTTTCTTAAGATTTTTCTGACAAATTCAAGAAAAAACAATAAGGATGTTTTCATTAATATTCAAAATAAGCTACTCAATTAGAACTCATCTCATACTACATGTTCAAATTTCTTCACACCTTTCAGAATTAATACTCTTTCTGATACTAAATCCTAAAGTAAGTTCATTTTCTTCCTCAAAGAATTTCTTTGATTAAACAAAAGAAGGAAAGCCTAAAGCTGTGATTTAAATATTTAGGAAACAAAAAGGTTTAGTATGTTAAAACAAAGTAAAAACTTTCCATATGGTCAAACTTTTAATTATGCCCATGGGCACCTGCAGTGGGTCAATACCAAAACTTATTTCTTGTTTATTGATGCCAGAAATCCATCAAGAATAAGAGTGATAGTAAGATATCTACTGTGGGACAAGCTACCCCTGTAGATCTAACAGAGGCATCGCTCTCCCACTGTCATCTCAAGTACAAAATCACGGCTTTCTCTAAGTAACTTTGCAGATATTTCTTCAGGATTGCTATCCATTAAACCAAATATCCAGTATAACATAAAACAAAGCTCTTACTGGTTTGCAGGAGAAAAAGAATATAGTTAAATTTTATACAGGATGACTCCCACTGTACAGCAAATAAAAATAACCAAATCAGTAAAGCATTTTCATATTCTTGTAATACAACCTAGTTTTAGTCCTTTCATTTTTCCAGATATCCCCATGAAGATATTAACTTTCTAGTATTCATAATCCAAAGTACAACAACAGACATCTTAAATTTGCCCAGGTTTCAATTCAAGTATTTTAAAATATGTTTTTACGCTTTCTTTTCAGTGTATCAAAAGGTCACATTTTTTTACATGAATGCTAACAGGCACAGTTCAAAACAAAGGTCAAGATTTCTTTGGGGATTCATTCTCCCTCTCTCATCTTAAAACAAGTTCATGATTCAAATTCAGGATAAAAGATGAATATATTACCGATGTAAATACTCAGACTGGCCCACATATATAATGCTCAAACACCATGAATGAACACATTCTTATTATTCATTTCATGTGCTTTACTAATGATAACTGTGAATGGAAGTCACAAGTGCATTATTGAATGTTATGAATAAAAATGCATAATGTCCATCTATCTACATTTCAAGTTAATGTCACCCATTCACATTCATAATCCGAACACTCCCCACCCTGCGCACAAACACAAAACCCCCAAACAAAAGACAGGGTTACTTACCAATGGTTCCCTGTTTTTGACAAGCCTGATTATTTTAACTGAATCTTCTTCCTCATCAATATCATCAGGCATGGGGGGCAAGACAGGATCGTAGTTCTTCTGAGCAACAGTATCATGTACAGAGAGCAAAGCCTGAAAACATTAATAGTCAGTATATTATTTGGCATCTGAAAAGTTTATGAAAGGCAAAGAAGACGATATTATTTATAGCCTGACTCTACTACCGTGATGCATATAGATTGAATATAATTCTTGTCTACAATTTTAACACGTCAAACTGATGAAACAACTCCACAAAGTATATGTTTTCATATACACAATGTATGCATCTAGTAAATTGTGGATACAGAACAGTGTCTTCATACACTCAAAAATACCAAGTGATTTGCACATTAGCTTGAAATTACAAGCATTATGAACAGGAGAAAACCTAAGTCTCCTAAAGTAAGAACATCATTCTACTTTTCCTAGATAAAAAGTTTCTTTGATAGAGTAAGCAGTCCTGTAACAAAAATAAGCAAAATAAGTATCTTCCAGTATTTCTGCTCAAGCATGAGATGCATGACATTAAGCTGTTGCCCAACTATTCCTTTCAGAGGAGCCCTGGAAGCTTACCTGGTTACTGGATCCCTATCATACTAGTTCCCTTTCATATGAGCTCCAAATTATCTTAGGAATTTTTAATTTATTGTGGAATTCATGATTGAGATTGAGGAACATACTGCTGAGACAATTTGGTTTAGGCAGGTGCTTTTCAAACACTCTGTCGCATGTCTTGCCTCCTTCCTTTCTCTGTTGGTTTTCCAGTTCATGCATAGCTTGAATAATAGATTTTTCAAAGAAAAGCCTAACAAAGCCTGACAAAGGGTTTAATCTTAAAAATAAAATAATTTATAAACTTGCAGAAATTAAAAAATCTTGAAAGTCAAAGGAATTTAAAAAGGTCATTCTCCTAAGGCTCTAAAAAAAAAATCTCAGCTATAATCTAAAATTCACAGCTTCTTCTAGATACAGAACTCTTAAAGTTCTATTTTAAAAAGTCTTCATTATTTGTAATACCTTTCAAACTGGTGAAAAATAGTTAAGTAATGCTTTTACTTTTGCAGTGAAAACTATGCATTATAGCAGGAATAACAGCAACAGCCATACATATAACTCTATATACTGCTTTCAGTTGCTTTTCTTTTCAAGTAGTTCCTCCTAAATACTTGAATATTTTACATTTTGACCTGATATTTTTTCCCAAAGCGTCAATATTACAAAAGTTGTAGTCTGAATAGCAGGAGTAATTCACAAATTGATAACCTTCCTGACAATAAAAATAAAGCATTTTGGAAAATATTGAGATGTTTAGGATGAAGCAGAACACATCAACATTCTTGACATGGATCATATCAGAATGTATCATATCAATTACTATAATAATGAATCTATTATAACAATTACAATAATGATTAAGAAGAAACACCTTAATAAAGAACAGAGAATGGCTACATTTCTCTGATGCCAGTTTACTTGCTACTTAATAAAAGGCAGATAATATTTGACTGACTACACAAAGGACCAGAAACTATATGTTCTCACAGATAATGCAAGTGTTTTACAAAAGCATGACACTTCCACTACACTATTCCAGGATTTTTTTCCTGAATGGAGGAGACTGTAACAACAGAAAACAATTTCCAGGCAATGCTACAAGTTATCATGTCAAAAGCAGAAGGCTAAGAGCATATGGTAATCTTGAAATTCTGAAGTTTAAATCTGAAGTTAGGTTTTCAACAAAACAAACACAGGGGAAGATCATGCCTGCTTCATGAGAATTTGCTATTGTTTTTCTAATTTCCATGCATATTGTACAATTTGACAAAAACATTTCAACATGCTAATTATTTCTGGTTTTCTTCCCAAGACACAGTTATAAATTTGTACTATTTAGCATGAGAAATTACCAGCTCCCTCCCACCAAAGATTAGTCTTACTTTAGATCTAAGCTAAAAAGCTCAGGCTAGCAATTATAGTTCCTCCTGGAAATGTGTATTATGAAGCTTTACATATGTAAAAGCCACGCAATCACATGCAGTCCTCTAAAGATGTACATGAAATATCAAAGATATACTAAAACAAAAGTAGCGTTTGCTTTTACTTCAGGCTACTTACAGTTAAGACTTCTAAAACTAGTCTTCTGCAATTACGTTTTTCCACATAAAGCTAGGGCACATTCATGGACTGGTTCAATTTAATGAGGTTCTATATTGCAGTTTAAAAACAATCAGGCAGATAGAGAAAACAGATGAAAATAATCTAAAGCACCACTTCCAGAGTAAAAGGCAGCAACTTAAAAACATGTTCAAAAGAACCCTTCACAGTGAAACTTGCAAAACAGATTCTGCCCACTACTACACTGAATTATGCCACCACTGTTAATAAGATACTTCCCTGCTCTGACTGCCAGAGCAGGCTCCTGGACACTGCATGCAAAACAACGATGCAGCCCAAATATTATAAAGCAATGCCAATCAATGCCTGGTAGTTATGATGCTTTTCTTCACTCACAACTGGAACTTATCAACCGCTTCCCTCCTCCTCCCAAAAAACACATTAAACCACACTGTACTATAGTTTTCAATATAAGATCTTTTCCCCAGACTCTAGTACTACTTTATCTCAGTGCAAAGATGCATATTTTAGGTAAGAGTATGAATGACAGAAATTATGTGTCTTTTCTCAGTCAAGCTTCCTTCTGTCACCACAATCTTGTTTATGCTGTACGCTGAACATGCTAAGCTTTCTTTCCTGCTTGTCTTCCATCATTGCTTCTTTTCACACACTACTCTCTGTCTACTGTAGTTGCTCTTGAAGTAGTCAGCAGCATAGACATTGGGCAATAATTTATCTGCAGACAAAATTTATAAAGCCATTTTGATTTCACTGAATATATTCAACTAGAAGTGATCAGAGCCTGTTCTCAAGAGAACTTCCATATGTTTTGCATGTATGAAGAAATGACCATATTCACAGTGTAAAGGGACATTTCTTCAGCAGCTTCTTTGTACTGTTCAATTAATATAATGTATGCTTAGTCCAAAAACTATGTATCAGACTAGACTTTTATAGAAAAGGTTGGGACTTTTTTAGAAGCAAACAAATTACAAGTGCCAAGAAACAAAATTTGGATCCTATGATGAACAAGATTTATTCAGAATAATTGTACAGTAAATGCACAAGGCAATGTAAGGGTAGTAACGTTCTCTTTTTGTATTTAAGAAGTGATCAACTTACTTCCATGATACTAATTTTTACCTATCACAAGAAACTGCAGGAAGTGCAGATGAAAAAATATTTTTTTTTTAATATTTTGGTTTTGTTTTCAAATACACAGCTCTTCGGAACTATGCATGTATGATCCAAGATTTGGGTCATGTATATTTAAGCACCTCTGGAGAAAAAGATTTTATTTCAGCTCTACGTTCTATGCTTATGATTCACTAATGTAAACACTATCCATATTTAGAACTTGAAAGAAGGTATGGTTCAAACTCCTGCACTACCTAAATATAAATATTGATGTTCAGCTAAATTCTTAGACATGATCTAGCTGGAAATGAATACTTTCATCAGATCTCTGAAACGTCTAATAACTAGTGCTGTATTTTTCATATTAAAGTTATCACTGATTCTTTCACAGTTTATAAATTGATATTTTACACTATCAACTTACACAAAGAAAATCTGACATTGGAAACATTCAAAGTTCTTTCTCTTAAACTGCTCCGAAACTTTAAATGTTTATTTAAATTGAGAATGTTGTTAATGAAAACAGTCCTACATTTTGAAAAATGTGTATCATTTAACTACACTGACTACATTTTTGCTCCTCTAAAACAATGACAAATTTTATATTATTTTTTGCTTCTGTTTATATTTTGAGATCTGTAGGAGTAAAAATACCCCCAGTAGCCCCTGACTTGCGAACACAGCTCCTTATGTTTTTAAATTCTCCTTATTTAAAGAAAACATATATCTCAGTTTAAGCCTTACTTCTCAGAAATATTTTGCATTTATTAGTCTAGAAAAACATTTTAGAAAACAGTAAGTTAAATAAAGAAGAAAGACAGAATGGACGAAGAAACAAAAGCCTGTTTCTTTATGGTACTTGAAAAAAACGAGATTAGAAAAGTAAATAATTAATAGTCAAGATTATCGACATAAAATTTGTAGGGACTCAAACCGACCTTTATGAAAGCCAACAGCTGCAGCAGACTGCGACACTGCCAACCCAGCTGCTGGTTACCTTGCCTATGGAGTAGATTACTGCCCTGGCAGCAGTCAGCAAAATGGGAGAAAATGGCCCATGACTTTGCTGTCCCAGTCCACAGCTTGGATCATTAGCACAGGCCACCTTCTCTGGCAGTTCAGCTTGAACTCTATCAATCAGGTGAGACAGAGACATTTTTCCACCTCTTTGCTTTGCTGTGGTGACTGAGGCTGGCACAGAGAAGTTACACCGGAGGTGAAAAGTAACTTCATCAGCAACCACAGCAACGTGCCCCTGAACTCACCTGGCAGAGCTTGTCCTCCGGAGAGCTCTACCCCTATTGCGTTTTCCTTTGTGATAGGGTTACAGAAGAAATACAAAAAGACAAGCTAATGTTGACTAAGAAAATTATTCAAGACTGGAAAGACTGATTTATGAGTAACTTGCATAAAGTTAAAATCAAGCAAGTGAAGTCATCCAGTGACAACAAAGAAGGAAAGCTGAAAGAGCTGGGAGGAGACCAAACCCACTGAAGGAAAGACCATTAGAGCATCAAAATGGAAGGAGAAGTGTAAGAGATGTAACAGCCAAACGTGTGCAAGAATTTAGAAAGCAGGAGAATAAAATCAGCAGAAAGCTATAGCATAATGGTGATGGCATACAGGCTCTAGGGACAGAAAAGCAATTTGACTTGAGAACACTTTGGAGAAGAAAGGAATAAAAATACAAGGTATTCAGAATCAAGCTGTACATTTAAGAGCAACTGGTAAACAGCACAAAATTTAACAGGGGAAAAGGGAGATAAGAATTTAGATAAGGGGGGGTGGAGGGTGGGGTATAACAACCTTTCTTCTTCTACAGGAGAATTCATCTTTAA